GTCTTCAAAACTGGCAGAGATTCTTCGGTGGGGGAAAGAAGTCAGGGTTTAGGATTTATAGCCTTGCTAGAGCTGCATTTCAGGGATTAAAGGAAAAACGTGTATGAAGCAATACCGATTCCTGCATGGCAGAAAGCTAACAAACCAATGAGGCGGCCATGAGGGAAAGCAAGTCCCCCCTCCCCCAAGTCAATGTAAACTCCTCCCTGTACTGCTCTATTAGCTGCAATATAGTAGGAGCCTGATCCTGCTTTTGTTGCTGTGAGTGGTGAAGCGCTCACTGATTTGAATGGCAGCAGCATTGGGCCCATAATCCAGAGGGCTTGGGTGTTACAGTGAGTTAGCACGTTTTCCTTTTGCCTCTGGAGACAGGGCTTCATAGGCTGGCTCCTGACCCTAATGGAAGGGGGAACCCCCTGCCAATCTGCCCTGACTTATGCTACTTGTAACTCCACTGTGTAATTCAGACCCGCTGTGGTCACAGCTGCCGTCATACTGGCCTCTCAGCCTAGAGTAGGGGCTGTGAGAGCTCTGAAAACTAGCTGGGGACCAGAGAGTGGGGATCGGTGTCTGTCAATCAAAGGCCAAAGCAAGTTCGATAGAACGCGGTTTCACCTATAACATAGTAAGATTTTTTGGCTCACGAGGACAGCGTTATATCGGGGTAGAGGTGTACTACTAATTCTTTGCTTTGTGAGCACAAAATTCACAGAGATGAAAAATTCCCATCACTTTCCTATTTTGGCCAAATGATTCTCTCCCCCCTATACTCAAGTACATCTCTATTAAAGCAAAGTGGCCAGGCCTGTGGCCTGGAACGTGGGTTTCTCCAGAGGAAGGGGGAAGGCTGTTTTCCTGCAATGTTTAGAGAATTGCTACTGTCAGTGGCACCAAAGGAATTTTTTTGTGATTACAACTTAATTTGAAGAGTACAAATACTTCTAAAGCTCCAGATACAATCTCCAGGCTGCCAAGAGAATGAAGGGCTTGTCAACTGAAATAAAACTCAGTCCAAGGGCTTGGGAATTGACTGGCATGGCTTTTAGAGGTATAGAACTATACTGGTATAGTTCACCACATGGATATTCTGTTCTGGAATACCAATCACTCTTATGCAGTAGAATTACTCTGCTCCCCAATGGCCCATTGATAGACATAGCTATGCCAGTCACTTCCCCCATGTATAAAAGTCCTGAGTTAACTTCCCTCCTGCCTCCCACTAGAAGGACTGTGATATGCTGCCTAAGCAATTTCAGAGAACTATAATGGCTTATCTGGCTGAGTGGGATTTGTTTGAGTTTCCGGGAGCTGTTGCTTCTCTGACTAGTAGAAAAATGTAATGTCACACTGAGGAATCCTCAAATGGAGCATCAAGTGGATGTTTAAAGTAAGATATTTGTGACTTGTAACCAGGAATGAAGTAGATAGTGACTTTTTTTGCTTTCTCATTTTCTAACATCGCACGGCTTTCCTCTGCTTCACTTCTTGATCTCCCGAGTTTCCCATCTCTGCTTTGAATAGTTGCTTATCCTAAACTCCAGCTAAGATGGAAAACAACCCCGAAGTCAGGTGTCTCTGGGGAATGTGGTCTTCAGAGGAGGGTGTATGAGATTTTTGGTTATAATAGCAATGTATGGCTCATGATAAAATGTCAGTGCTACTGACAATAGTGGTTTATGTTCCGCTGTGTTACAGCAGTTAAGTTGGAGTAACTCCATGAAAGTCAGTGGAGTTACATTGGTATAACTGAGATCCCTGGACCTCTGTGTTGTAAGACAGAGAGCACCATACCCTCCTTAGACAGTGCAGTGTTTGGTTTTCTGCTGTTGCTGGAGATAATCTGTGACATGGCTACAATGGAAATGTATTGGCAAAGAATATAATTCATGGAGCTGATTTATTTTAGAGGCATTGAAACTAAACAGTACCCTCCCTCCCCCCCCGCCCCCCCGCCCCCAGCTCCCTGCCTGCCCAGTAACGTTATCCAGGCTTTCCAAATATTGGGCTGATTGTATGCTGTTTGTTGAATGGGTCTATGTTTCAAGTAACTCCAGAGAAGTCACAGCACCAGTGTGAATGAGACCAGCACTTGGCCCAGGATCCACCCCAGTAACCCATCCATGGGCCAATGGGTATGCTTGTTCTCAGTGATGCAGTGAGCGCGATAGCAACAGTGCAGAATTGGAGAACAATTCCTCCCACAATGTTAGGTCAGACTGACCTCCCATTGAGGCAGCAAAATTTAACTCATGGAGTTACTGCCCAATGGTTCCCATGCGGGGGAGGAGAGTTGGGAGTGCTTGAGTGGGAAAAGAACAAGGCCTCCCAGCTCTTCCTCCAGGGGATCCAGGTGTAAAGGCAATACCACATCTGCAGAGTTGTCTGCATGGGAAGCTCCTAGGCACTGCTCCCTCCTCAACCAGGGGAGGAATGCAATCCCAGAAGGAGTTATTAAGCCATGTTGACTCCCTCCCTGAATTCCATGCAGCAGTCCAAGGGATGGTACCATGGAGTGCTTCTTTTCAGCCCTGCCTCAAACCCTGCAGTGCCTAAGAGATTTTGATGGGGATTAAATTGCCACATGGTTGGCATTCCTTCCCTTCTGCACAGGCAGTGGGAGAGCTGTGCAAGCAGGCACCATGTTGGCGGAAATGCTGGGGAGGTTGGGGTTGGGGCTTGGTTTTGTGTCAGACTTCAGTATACTGTGACGATAGCCTATAGCTGGAATTTCACTCAGCTGCTACATATAGTAAGCTCTTTAGGGCTCAGAGTGTGGTAGGCTCCAACCTGGCTGAGGCCTGCAGATGCTAGTTTAAAGCAAATGATTAATAATACTTGGAAGGATTTCAGAGTTGCAAACCTATTGTGTTGGTAAGTTTCAAAGAGCAATATTTTCTCTTAGACATGGACACATACACTATAGAAGGCTCATACAGGACTTTGAGTCACAGTCCTTCTAGGACTCTGCAAAAGCAAGAGTTCATCGGTTTCAGAATACTTAATTAAAACTCCTACTTCCCCCAGAGACCAAAAAATAAACAACATTTGTTAAAACAATGAAACTGGCGCCGAACAGTGAACTGAAAACCGACCAGGAGCAACCCCTCCCTGAATGAGAAGCCGGTCATCTTTTCAGTTTTACATTCAGGATGTGCTTACTTTGCTTTTCTGTTCAAAGCTGCCAGATTCGAGAACAAAACCAAGTGTCAATAAAGTCCTGTTCTGATCAGATTGCAAAATGCAGATTTGTACAGAAACTCTTTGAGAGGGGATATAGGTGCCTTTTCTTCTGATATGATGAAGTTGAGTCCTTTCCATTCCCATAGAGCTCATGTTATTTCTTTATACAGGCTTGTGGAGCAGTGTGCCAGTTGCTTTGAGCAGGGGATCGCTGTGTAGGTTTGGAGGGGAATGTATCCTCTCATTAGGCAGGGGCAGGCACTGTTATAGGAGGCCAGGCACTGCCATGCAGTTCTGCAGTCACAGACCCACTGGGCATTCCTCCCTACCCCTAAATCTCCTCCCCAGGTCCCCCATACTGCCACAAAGCAGTGCCTCTCAGAATGGAGGGTGTGGTATACAAACCTTCCTTTCTCTTGCAACTGAACCACAACTGCAGTGGAGAGAGGCGGCCAGGATTCCAGACAGTGCTTGGCTGGTGGGATTAAGCCTGATGTGGTGGCTAGCACTACTGCACCAGCATGTCAGGAGGTCCCTGTCCCAAGCCAGGACTTGGCTGTATACCCAGACAGAAGGTTTTTGGTGGTAGGGGAAGTGCTGCCATTCAGATGATCTGTTAAAAGAAAGTCTGGCTCCACCATAGTGTCTCTGGATGCTGTTAGGTGGACACTTCCTGCAAAAGAGGAGACCTTGGTTACTTTTCTGCCCAGCCATCCCCCTCTAAAGAGAACCACTCACCAAGGTCGCCCAGGAGTGCACCATGGCTGCGATTGTAACAGTTCAAAGATATATACAAACCACATTTACAAGCAACCACACATATGCAGGGAGAGGGCTCACAGAATTCTGCTCTGGGGGGTGGGCAAAAAAGCCACACAGAGCACTGCCACTGAACTAAAGAAGACTTCTGGTTATCTGAGGGTGGGAGTAGCTTTCACCTACAATCTAGGCTTCTCCCATCTACGGCAAGAGAGAGAATTACACTTGAGCAAGTCTGACACATGGTAGCCAGGAGAGAGCAATGGTACACACTTGCTGCTAACCCATGATTAGACTATGTGCCTATCCTTTGGGGAACTACAGTATATAGTCTATTCAGTGAGGGGTGTTAACACTAGAATCCAACTATGTATCTGTTTCTTAAGAGACTGGTAAAGTAAGTTAAAGCCAGAGGGGCTGATCCTGCTTCTATATAGGTAACCTTCTCTTCAATAAGAGCAGGAGTAGTCTCACAGTGAGTATACCAACACATAAGTACAGACAAAACATCAGTTAATGACTTGTGTAGTCAGAGGACCAACTTAATCCCTGATGCAACTCCTCTCACTAAGAGTTAAACCAGAGAAGGATTTGGGGCATTAATCCCCTGATTAGTATTCATTTTGTATATTGAGTGGAATACACCGTCTGCTGGTTGCCTTGTGTCCAATCAACCTCAGATGCATTCACTTTCTTTACATTTCACTTTCTGCAAAATCTGGTTTGTCAGACATGAGGGGTTCTGACGAAGGAAGAAAAAACAAGCTGGTGCTTTATCAGCCACTGTAAAACATTTTCTGCTTTAAAAATGCAAATAATTGAAAACTAACTTTTAAAACCAATCTAATGTGAGTCATTCTGGGATAAGTCTCCCAAGAGTTCAATTTTTCAAAACAAGCAGTAGAAGAAAGTATTGGCTGTTTCTGAATCAGTGTGTAAAGAAAGTATTCAAAAAATGGAAATTTAAGAATATCTTTCTATTGAATGAAAGACAATGCATTAATTTACAATAATCTCCCTTCTCACTTAGCACACACCAATATTTTCTAGAATATCTGTTAGCAGTAAACCAACAGTGAAACCACAAATCCAAAAGGAGCAAATAATTTGAAATATGATTTCTCACTGACTGGAATTAAAAAACCAAAAAGTTTCCACTTGCCTGAAACACACTTTAAATATATACATGCACTTCTGGCTTAGCTGGTGTGAATAGTTCTGCTTAACAATGGGAGGACTGGTTCACAGAATGCTTGGTTAACTCTTGCACTCAATATTCAAGTTGCATGCTCAATGTTTTTGATTAGATTTTCCTTTTAAAAAAATCCAGCGAATGTACCTGTATTAAACACTTTTGCTGTCAACACTCTCCTGCGTTAACTGCTGTTTTTTAGAGTAGAAATTTAGGATCAAAGTGATCCTGTATGTAATTTCACTGACTTCGAGAGAGCTTCCCTCATGGATGGATTTGGCTCAGAGATGGCAAATAAAATGATTCCTTATCCCTTCCTTAAAACTGTCTGATGTTACTGCAATCTGCATTGAAGCACCAGAAGTAAATATTCACAGGCGCAACCAAGGAAAAGCTACTAAAGCCATATGCTGTTATCGTTTTGCTGCTTCGTGACTGAGCCAGTCTGGGGTTCAGAAAGTCGTACTAATCCCTCCTCTCCGTCCCCTCGCTATGAATATTGATTCGTTTGCTGCTCGCCTAGCTCAGCCCTTGTGCGAACCACTGACCATGGCTGCAAAAAAAGAGATGAAGGCCATTAAGGGAAAAATCAACCTGCACAAAAAGGAGATTCAATTCTGATTTTTAAGCCACTCGACCAAGGATATATAGAGCTAAAGTTTTCTCCCCATCCTTCACTTGTTTTATGGGGCCCGGATCACGAGTTATCCTATAATCTAGCATTTGCAGTTAAAAGGGTATGTACCATAGTATAGTATTTAGCCCCCAACTCAGCAGAACACCTGAGCATATTCTTAAATCCCATTTAAGGCAATGGAACTTAAGCACATGCTTAAATGCTTTGCTGAATTGGAGATATAGGAAAAAATTAGGGCCAAATCCAGAGACCAGCAATGGCTTGAGTAGGGCTGCTAGGAATATGTGTTGGAGAGGAGGGATAAAGAATCTCTCTCCCAGTCACGGAGGGGCTACAAAGCTACATGGAGGCTACTTCAACCTAATCTCTGGAGAGATCTCCACCATCCCTTGAAGGAGAACAGGAGACTTGCCTATGAGCGGACCCTAACTCGGTGCAAGAAGCCCTTGCAGAGCCTTTCCCCTGCTTCCCCCCTCATGCTACTGAATCCCACTGGTTCTGCTGCCAGAGGAACTCCCTAGTTTCAGAGAGAAACTACTCTATATGCATCCGAAGAAGTGGGCTGTAGTCCACGAAAGCTTATGCTCTAATAAATTTGTTAGTCTCTAAGGTGCCACAAGTACTCTTGTTCTTTTTGCGGATACAGACTAACACAGCTGCTACTCTAATACCATGGAGAATATCATGTCTCTGCATTACTGATTTCCCCACCCCCCACCCCCCCAGAACCTTGAAGAGTGGTTGGTAACTCCTTAGTGTACTTTGCTTAGCCTTGAAATGCATTTTATCTTCTAGGATAGCTGAATGAGAACACACAGTATGTAGAACGCAGCTAGTCCCAAGCATTACAGCAGTGTTTGCTAATGCCACTGCACTCAATTCGTCAGCATCTCTGTGATGATAAATCCTACTGTCAAGGGGGTTTAGCTGCACCCCTGGACATACGCTGCAAGATTATCAGAGTAATCCTTTTTGCTGTTCAATCTGGCTACTCTCAGTCCAGTTATTTTAAAGTTATTGATTGGAAAAAAAAAAAAAGAATTCCTAGCTGTTTGGAGCCTGATGCAAAGCCCATTTAAGTCAATGTGGAGTCTTTCCATTGGTTTCAGTAGCCTTTGGATCAGGCCCTGGGTGAGTCTGGAGACTGACATTAATGCTAATTCCCTTTGTGCACTGAGGAAAATGAATTAACGTGTATTTATAAAGAATGCCTCCTGGCCTTTTGGCCAAGATGCACCTACATTAAAATCATGACCATAATATACCAAATAAACTCCTCATGAGTGCCCCCGTTTACCTACTGGGATCAGTATTACAGCTCTCCAACCTACTTCCACACTCTTTAATGCATCCTCTTGTCCCCCCCTCCTCAGGAACCAGCTAAGCCTTGAGGTATGCCCTGGCAATTAGCAGACCAAGAGGGGTGCTCTGTATATGCGTCGTCCAACTTTTACATGTAGAACCAAACCTAAGAGCAACAGTTATTTCCACCCCCACCCTCCCTCTGAAAATATAGGTGTTATTGGGGTTGACAATGTATCTTTCTATCAGGTGGGAATGAACAGGCAGATGGCTGCTGGAATCTTCACTATTATATGGTAACTAAGAGTTGGCATTTGAACAACCTGACTGTCCCTTTAAAGGGTCACATCAACTTCGTCTTATTATGCAGGTAGTCAGACTAGATAATCATAATGGTCCGTTCGGACATGAACATCTATGAATCACACAAATATTTTATTTCTATTGTAACAAGTAGCAGTTACGGTTGTTACAAGTAAAAGAGATGAGGGGAAAACACTTTGGTTTTTCAGATGGTTGGGGTTCTGCATCTGACCGGACTTTGGCCAGAGTTTTCAGACAGGCTCAGCTCCCTGGAGAGATGCCAGACTTTCCAAAGAGAGGCGACCCATTTTTCAAAAGTGCTGAGCAACCAGAAGCTCACATGCAGAGCAACGGGAGCTTTTTGACAACCTGGCCCCCGTTGCGGGCACTGAGGTCTTCTGAAAAACTGTCTGAGCCTTTTGAAGAATCTGGTCTCCTGTGTAGAGTCAGTTTCACTCTTTCCCCTGCATAGTCAGTCAATCCCCAGTCTCACCCATGCTATTTGTATAGGGGTCTTGCACACAGCAAAAGGAGGGAGTTGTTTTATTTGTGTGACTGTAAAATCACCAATTGGTTGGAGAATTTTGGGGCAGGTCTAGTATTTTAAAAGTAGTTTCAGGTACTTTTTTTTTTT